CATAGAAAAGAACCCACGAGAACATGTATTAGCAGTTGAAGTTGTGGAATATGAAATTGTTGAGACAGCATCACCCAAATCAGCTACCTTTGTTCGAGCTTATGTACCTCCTATTTCATTCACTCAAAAGCTTCGAAAGCAACCAAAAGAGGAACGGGTTCATACTATCACAACGAGAGTTGGAGTTCAGATGCCATAAATCACTGTAAAGAAGAAAGGGGTTGAGGAGAATCAAATACCTACCATGGATGAGGAACAAGTGGATCGATTTGAAGAATCAGCAAAGGTTAGTCAAGAAGAACAGTGAGACAGTCTATAGGTTAAGGCAATTGTCACTGTCAATAAACATATACCTTCAGTCCCATTTCCTCAAAGATTGCAGAATAATAAGCTGAAAAAATAGATCAAGAAGTTTTTGGATGCTCTCAGAGAACTTTACATCATCATTCATTTCATTGATGCCATTCTATAAATTTCAAATTATACTAGGTTTTTGTAAAAGATGTTGACCAAGAAGAAAAAGTTGTCAATAGATGAAATAGTGACATTGACTGAAGAATGCAACACAATCCTACAACACAAGCTTCCTACGAAACTGAAAGATATGCGAAGTTTCATTTCATCATGCTCTATGAAAAATTCGCATGTTATAAATGCTTTAATTGATTTTGGAGTAAGTATTAATCCGATGCCCCTGTATCTACATAAAATTAGGACTGGGGGATCCTCAAACAACTTTCATAATTCTACAACTAGCTAACATGTCACTCAAGCATCCTTATGTAGTGGTCAAAGATTTGCTCATCAAAGTTGGAGATTTCATCTTTCAAGCTGATTTTATTTTCATCAATATAGTCGAAGATCAAAACTTTCCAGTAATCTTAGGAGGACCATTCTTAAAAACTGAACGAGCATTAATGAATTTTAGAAATGAAATAATCTTGAGGATGGAAGAAAAACAATAAAAAATTACCAAGAATAATTCTCTTAAGCAACCACATTACATTAAGGAATGCAAAATGATTGACCATGAAGAAAATGAGAATTGGGGAAATCATCACTACAAAAAAGGCGTTGGTGGATTGGTTAAAACAACGAGGGACTAAATGGAAACCTTAAAATATGGAGGGCAAGGGATGAATAGAAGAATACTAGTGAAAGTGATAAATTTTGCGGATTCTACGCGTGCCTAATTTTATTTGAATCATCTAAGGCCAATCAGATAAAATTAGGTGAAAATCTCAAGTTCGGGGTCGATTCTTGAGAATAAATATTTAATGTAAAGCATTGCACTAATCATTGCATAAAAGGGAAAACACTGTCACAATGTGAAGCTAACTTATAAAAGATCTCAATGAAGACATTTAATGAAAAATCCAAAAAGAAAACTCAAAAAGGGATATAGTTAGTACATGAAATAAAATACGCACATAAGAAAAAAAAAGTGCTTGAAATAGAAGAAGCACTACATGTCTTGATTAAACCCCAAACTCTTGTTTGAGAAAACTAGACCTTTGACAAAGAATTATTAGCTTAGTTGATTCTTTGATGTTAAAATAGTCTAAAATAAAGCAAATCATCATTTGTTGATGTTAAGCTGCAATTAGTAAAATTCAACCAAACTAGAGAGAGTGAGAATTAGTATATGAATTCAACCTTATATTACACCTTGAAAAAATAGTTAAAAGAATAAGTTGTAAATTTATGCTGCTTTACATGAACCTCCACATATACACACTGTTTTTGCATTAGATGAATGATAGTTGATTTCAGCAATGTGATTTTGAAGCTATTTATAATTTTGATACAAAAATTTCAATCATGAAACTGACGACTGATTATCTAACTATGTTTTTTTAAAAGTTTGAGATTAAGTTAAGTTATATTTTGTTTGAGTACAAACAATTGTTTAAGTTTGGTAATGTTTGATAAATGTATTTTGTACACTTATCGTGTCGGTAAATGAGATTAATTATTGTGGATTTTGATGAATTATGGCCTAATTATGTATGTACTACATTTTTTTTGGTAAAACTCTATGCAAATTGAAGGATTAGGTAACATGAGCGGAAAACGAGCAAAAATAAGGGAAATCCAAAGTTTTAGGACTAAAGTGAAAATATCCAATAGTTAATTCGAACTATAAAATGATGATTGAAGATCACATATGATCAATTGGAAGTAATTAAATCAAATGAATGAAAAATTAGAATATAATCAATTTCCAGCCTTACAAGTTATGCTTCTATTTTTTAGTCTCAGATTGAGATTCATTTTCAGCATAGTAAGCGTTTGAAATGGAAAATTGATACATCTAGGAAAATTTTATTCCTTGGAATTAACTTTCTAATACACTTTAAATAATCTCAGTAGAATATTGGAAGAAAAGTTATGACAAAAATACTGATGAACACCTAGTTTTGAAAAATTCAAGTGGCGCACGCGCAACCAATGTTTGCGAGCGATTGAGGACTACTTTTTGCCAAACCCAAGGCAGAATTATTGAATTGGCACACTTGGGTTTGGGGAGGAACAAAAATGTCACGGTCACAGACTCCAAATTTCATCTTACTAGCCAGTTTTCCTTTTTTGATTAAAACTTTTTAGGAACTTAAATTGGATGCAATTTTCACTCCTATAAACATGGGCAAACATTCGAGGGGTATCTTTTTAGCCTCTTCATACACATTAATACACATCCATATAATAAAATTCATCGAGATCAAGGTGCGAATTCACATCTTTTGGGAGAGAAGATCAACCTGACAAAGAATTGAAAGCCAATTACATCAAGAACTTGAATATTTCAAACTTAGAATTGAATATCATCATCTCTTGCATTCATTCATGATCCGATTGACTTCTATTTATTATTCTTTTTGCAATTTATTCAAAATTATGGTAGGCTAGACCCTTTTTTTGTATTGAATCAAGATGAACTCTGTTGTTTATTTATTTTAATTCAAGACTAATAGTTTAGTTAATTATTCATTTTTTGATTAAATTTGTGTTTCCATTGCATTAGTTAATTGTGCAGCTAACAATTAGATATCTAGTTGCTTGTTATAGTGCTGAAAAGTTTACAATAAATTTAGAACGCTTTGAGATTAACACACGGATAATAGATGTTAGGAATAAAAATATCGTGTGTGCAATCATATTAATAATCATAGAACTTAATTCTAATGATTCGAATTTGGATTAGGAATAGAATCAGATAGTAATTAGAATATATTTAACCATGTTTGACAACCATTATTTGAAGAAAATAGTGTTTTGAATTGTGATTTTTAGGAGACTGCATAGTTAAAAAATAGAGAAAAGTTTTGTGTTCACGTGCAAAATATTTTATTTTGTGAATGTGTGGTCGAAAACAAATAAATCTATATAAAAAAGAGTTTGAAAATATTGATTGTCAAACAGATAATTAATTTATCTTGAAAAAGAAAATTATATATCATAACTTAATCGATAGTTAAAAATGCATGATTATGACAAGATTGCATAATCAAAAATTGAAGTAAATAACAATAGATGGATTCGAAATTCAATACAATCATCCGTAATTTGATAAAATCAAACACTCGTTACATATTTCTTAGAAGAATTTTGAATAATTATAAATCAACAATAATCTCTTTCGTTTACATACTTCACATTCAATGCAAGACTAGTACACTTAAATTAAAATTTATTCTTTGTGAGATGATAACTCTTCTCATCGTACTTATTACTTGTCCACAATCCGTACACTTACAGGTTTCACAGCTTTCGCTCAATCAATAATCTACAAGCAAGCAGAGTTGAGATATATTATCACGAACTTGTTAAAGCATCTCGAATATGCTATCTATTTACAAAGAACATCTTATACGTAATAGAGAGTATCTTTAAATTTAGATAGTAATTTTTTTCATACACTCCAACAAGCTCTCCATTTCGACTCTTTATTTTGTTTTTTATTGAACATTTAATAATTTCTTCTTATATCTTATTAAATATATTTTTTATATTTTAATGACCAATCAATTTAAATGTAATTTGAATAATTTTAAATTGTAGAACATTGAAATTTGTAATGTATGAAACGAAATCATTGTACAGTAAGAATAGAGAATGAGCTTGGTTCTCTAAATTTGAAGAGCCAAACCAATTTTCTCTAGTTTAAAAAATTAAAATAGAAAATCTCTTAGAACTCATTTTTAAGTATTGACTCTCGGGAGATTTTTATGTTTAGAGAGTTTTTTTTTTGGGAGATGTTTTTATTCTCTTAATAGTCCTAATATATTTTTTACACTTCAACACTCTATCCTTTGTTATAAAAAATGTATTGACGAGACAACAAATTTGAATTTCTACTAAGATATTGATATATCTTTGACATAATGGATATTTGCAAGATGTGATTGAATAAAAAAGTTAACTTTGTTTTAAACATCCCAATAATGAAATGTCATGTAACGTTGTGTCAATAATTTTGTCAATATCTCTTGTAGCATAATTCTTTCTACTAACATAAAACGCCACGTCAAGCCACTAACCATTTCATTTCACACCAAAATTTCTGTAACTTCCAAAACTAGGTTCTCAAAATGAAAATTACTGAGTTCCTAACTTAGCAACTTGTATCGTCCCTACCCACGCCCCTCACCCCATCCCACCCAGCCCCACAAATGGAAAGAAAAGAACAAGCATGAAGCATCCTCAATTGGAAGATCCGGACAAATTTGTCTTGGCGGAACATTAATCATCAATTCAACCGAGTATAGTAAGAATTTAGTAGACGCAAAGAAAATCCATATGCGCCATTAATTCAGCAGTCCCCATCACCCCTTCTTTCAACACAAACTTCACAACATCAATTCACCCGTTAAACAAACCCAAAAACACAAAATGATTAACAAGAACAAGAAATCTTACATCCCGAAATCCCACATCCAAGTAAACCACCAAAATCCTCCTCCCACCACCATCGCCGCTTCCTCCTCCGCTGTGGCTCCATGGCATCCTTTTTATATACCACCATCACCACCATCTCCCTCTTCCTCTTGTATTCTGCACTTCTGCCTTATCCTACACTTTCTGGCCGAGTTTTCAATTCTTCTGTTACTCCAAACTTCACAGCTTCTTTTCTTCAGTTCGTAGACCATTCTGGCGCGTTCTTGGCTTCAAAAAATGGATCTTTCCAGGCCCGAATAACAAATTCCAAACCCGAATCACAATCCTACTACTTCGTCATAATCCATGTCCCATCCAACACGATAGTTTGGTCTGCCAATCGCAATACGCCTATTTCAGAATCTTCCGAGCTACGTTTTTCTCCAGATGGGCTAACTCTATACAATGATACACGCCACCCCATCTGGTCAACGCCGAGCAAAAACAGACCCTCTTCTGTTTCATCTTTGCAACTGCTAGAATCAGGGAATTTGATCATGGTCGATGGTATGAATAAAACTGTATGGGAAAGTTTCGATTCCCCGACTGATGTGATTGTGATGGAACAAGAATTACGCGTCGGGAAATCATTGGTGTCTTCTGTAAACGAAGAGGACTTATCAGAAGGTAGTTATAGATTTGTGATTGGTGAAAATGATGCGATGTTGCAATGGAATGAGATGACATATTACAAATTGTCGATGGATACGAAGGCTTTCAGGGATACAAATTTCGCGGTTGAGTACATGGTCATGAATTTTACAGCAATGTATTTGATGGGTTCAAATGGTACTGTAGTTGTAATACGAGTTATCTTGCATAATTCTAATGCTGCTGTTGATGATTCCTCTACTTTTCGAATCCTTAAGTTGGATCCTAATGGCGTTTTCAGTATTGTAAAGATAGATGCAAGGGATAGATCACAAATTGAAGAGTTTATGGGTCCAGCTGATAAATGCAGAGTTCCATCTATATGCAGAAGGCTTTATGTTTGTACCAATGGAGGAATGTGCCAGTGTGCGCAAGGATTTCACATTGATCCGATGAAGAAAAATGGAGATTGCGTGCCTGATGATAATTCTTTGGATCTGCCTGATTCCTGTGACGGCTCCTCATCATCAAATGGTACTTCAATAAAGTATATGAGTTTGAGGGATAATTTGGATTATTTCTCCAATGATTTTATGGATCCTATGTTGCGTTATGTGAGTCTGTCTGTTTGTCAGGATCTTTGCTCTAGAAATTGCTCTTGTTTGGGTATTTTCCATAGTCAGGACTCGGGATCTTGTTATGCAATTCAAAACTATTTAGGTTCCATTATGATAAAGTCCAATCCGGCTAGAGATGAGGATCGTCTGGGATACGTTAAAGTAATGGTGGTCGAAAATCCAAATGGTGATTCGGAGGATAAGAAATCCGATTTCCCTGTTTTGGCAATAGTTCTGTTACCATCGCTAGGGGTTTTGTTAGTTGCCATGGTACCAACTATAATTTGGTTGAGGAGGAGGAGGAGGAGAAAGTGGGCTAGAAATGTAAATAAAAAGTTGGGCCGTGCAAATTCTTCGTCCTCTGCAGAGGGAGAGTTTGAATTTTCTGGAATTCCTGGTCTGCCTGTGAGGTTTAACTATGATGAGCTTGTGGCGGCAACTGAAGATTTCAAGACTCGGATTGGTTCTGGTGGATTTGGGACAGTGTACAAAGGTACTCTTCGGGATGGAGTAGATATAGCTGTGAAGAAGATTACTTGCTTGGGAGCTCAAGGGAAGAGGGAATTTCTAACTGAGATTGGCATAATTGGAAAAATTCACCATGTCAATTTGGTTAGATTAAAAGGCTTTTGCACACATGGAGGGCAAAAGTTTCTCGTCTTTGAGTACATGAATCGAGGCTCGTTGGATCGTACTCTTTTTGGCAATGATGGACCTGCTTTGGAATGGCAAGAGAGATATGAAATTGCCCTTGGAACAGCAAGAGGGCTAGCATATTTGCATACTGGATGTGAACACAAGATCCTCCACTGTGATGTAAAGCCAGAGAACATTCTTTTACACAATAAATTACAAGTAAAAATCTCAGATTTCGGGCTCTCAAAACTGCTTAGCCCTGAGGAATCTGGTTTCTTTACAACGCTAAGAGGCACGCGGGGGTACCTAGCACCAGAGTGGCTGACTAGCTCGGCTATATCAGACAGGACCGATGTGTATAGTTACGGAATGGTATTGCTTGAAATCTTGAGGGGCAAGAAGAATTCCTCGGCTCAAACCCCAAGCAATAACAGTGCAGGAAACAATATCAACACTGGTAATAACCAGCCCTCATCTTCGTCTGGAGAATCTGGACATCGGCTAATTTACTTCCCCCTCTATGCATTGGAAATGCACGAGGAAGGGAGGTATTCGGAGCTCGTGGATCCTAGACTTGGTGGAAGGGTGAGAATGGAGGAAGTGGAAAAACTAGTAAGAGTAGCTCTTTGTTGTGTGCATGAAGAGCCATCACTGAGGCCTTCAATGTCTAACGTTGTTGGGATGTTGGAAGGTGTTTTGCCTTTGGGCGAGCCAAGGATGGAATCCTTAAATTTCTTGAGGTTTTATGGGAGAAGATTCACTGAAGCATCTAGATTGGAAGAAAACAATGAGCAGAATGAGTTTATTTTGAACAGACAGCCATTTGGTAACAGTAGCACTACTGGCTCATACAATTCTTTCTCCAATACGCCATCACATCAACTCTCATCACATCAACTCTCAGGTCCTAGATAGTGTTTTTTCTGTGGATATGTGTTCATGTTCATTCCCTCGATGTGTAAAAAAAATTCATGTAGTTGACATCGAATTTATTGAGAGTTCATTTGCAAGATTTGTCTATCTTGCCTTTTTATGAGTGTTCTAAAATTTTATATATTGACCGAGTCTTTGTCTAAATACATACGAAAAATACACGACAAGGACTATTTACAAGTTCTCGACAAAGATACTAATCGACACATGATGGGTGAGTCACTAGAAAATGGCGAGTCCCACATTAAGTTACTTGTACACATGATCAATCTCTCCTGTGTTCGGCTTCATTCAACTTGAGCACTTGACTCGTTTTTACACCTATAAGTTGATCTCAACATCTCGTGTCCATGATCCATAAGTAGAGAAAGATAATTGGTGTCACAACATTTTTTAGCATGACAACTTTGAGCTTCATTTGGTATGTTGTATTGTACTGAACTGTACACTTCGCAAATATACATACAGAAACTGCACAACAAGAATTAATATTTGGAGGTACAAGAAAAAATGGAAAGAATTTGTAGAACCTTTTACAAGTTCTCGACAAATACATATACACTACTAGAAAACGTGGTATCATCGATGGAAAATTTTATCAAATTCATGCTGGGTGGATTACTGCCCATTTGACACACATTAATTTATTTTAGGGAAAATTGTAGCCAAGGTACCAAACATTTCATTTTTTTGCAAACTTTGCCCAAATCTTTATTTTGTGCCACCCACGGTATCAAACATTTAAACAATTCGCACCCGGAGTTCAAATTGATAGTTTCCGTCCCTTTGACCCAAAAAACCGTCAATTGACTTCAAAATTAAAATTTTAATAATTTTGATCAAATAAGTCCCCAATCCTCTCACCTAAAAAATAAAATTACACTCCCAATCATCGCCCTATTGGAGGAAAAGGAACTTGCTGGTGGTAGTCAGTTGCGAGCTCTTTTGTTGTTTTGAGGGTGGTGTAATTGGCGGAAGTGGGGGAAGGAACAGAAGTTGGATTTGGCACCCTATTTGGTGAAATTGGGAAAGATTGGAGGAATTAGGTTCAGAAAAAGTGGTTTGAAAAGTTGGGTAGATGACGGATGAAAAGGAGAGGGGAAGAATGAAAAGTACAGAGAGAGCTAAGAAGTGGCGAGAGTGGGCACCGATTATGTGCTTTGTTTCAGACACTACTCCGCAAAGGTTTAGACCATGGATTTTGTGAGTCGCAATTGATGCAGGATTGTAGAAAGCAACAAAAAGAAACTTACATAGATGGGATCAGCGAAGATAAAAAGAAAACATTATCTAAAATATTGTTTTTTTTTTTTTTTTTTAAGAATCAATTTACAAATTGCAAGTGAATTTTCAATCTTTAAATATTTTCTTGAGATGTAAAGTGAGAGGAGTGTGGTAGGAGTTTGAATCTTGAAGAAGGAAGAATTGTGTTTTGCAGAGAGAGAAATGAGAATTTGATGGTGGAAGAGAAATGACGAATTTGTGGTGGGTTTTACACTCTTTGGCTGGTGGTGCTGGTGGGAGGAGACGGTGGTGGTGGTGCGGCAGTGTGCCGGTGACGGTGCCGGCACTGTTGATGCCAGGAAGAAGAAATTGCAAATTTTTATTTTTATTTATTTATTTTTTAGATTTATTTAATAAGAAAATTGTCAAGTTACCATTTTACCCCTCCTAATTTTGTCAAAATTAGTCAAAATCTACTACTATTGGTTGACTAACATTCAATGGACAGAAACTGTCAATTTGAACTCTGGGTGCGAATTGTTTAAAGGTTTGGTACCGTAGATGACACAAAACAAAAGTTTGAGCAAAGTCTGCAAAAAAGTGAAATGTTTGGTACCATGACTGCAATTTTCCCTTTATTTTATGGTTTGCTATACAATTATTTTCAACCACACATTTACACAATAAAATTTTGTATACGCATATCAAATTTTTTTTCTTACTTTCTAACTACATATTCTTCTAAAAATACTATTCAAAATTCATTTTTTTCCCGATTAATGAGAATCAAACATGCTTTTAGTCTTTATCATAAAAACCCAACATAAGTTGACTGTGTGAATTATAAGTGTCATTGAGAAGTGCACGTGTGATGTATGCTACCAAAATTGAAGAGGTGAGTTTTTGTGAAAAACGACTTTATTAGTGGAGGCTTTTATTAAGATGGTGACAAGTGGACTTGTGGTGGCCGTTGGATGAAGGTTGCTGGAGTGCGCAATTGGCTTAACCCTTCGTCAGATCATTTGGATAAAATAATTGGTTTTTATTTGTTTCCCTTGAATTTTCCTATCAAAGACCCCCAGAGATTAAATGCTCCTGCAGGGTCTTGAGAATTTGAGATAAATTCAATACATGTTGTATTCTTGGAGTTTCTTGAAGGAGATAACCATGTTAATACCTTGATCTTCTTTTTCTTTGATAAGCCTACTGCCTATGCTTGTCCTCTTTGTTTCTGAGTTTATTTACATATAATCATTTGTTGATTTTAAAAACTCTATGAAAAAGTGCATGAATCTTTGTTTTTAGATACTGGTGTATCTTTCTGTGAAATAAATAGAACATGTTTTTTGAAAATTTTGAGTTGTAACCTTCTTAATGGCTTCTACTATTTAAACTGAATTATTTTGTTTTTTTTTTTTTTACCGGGGCATAAATTAAAGATTATTATAATGCGACAATTCTTGGCCTATTGACATAAATTTTGTTGACGTCAAAAATTATCTATTCCTTTCATATCCGAATGATTCCAAACGAAAACATCGAGGTTATGTCGAAGGAACTCAACGATCCGACTTCGGAGGGACAGTGACAATTCGTGGCCTATCCTGAGTTCTTGTGGGGGATCACCTTATCCGACCTCTACTTTCTCCAACTTCTCCATAGGCTTCTTCCATTTTACTCTTATACGGGGGTCTAACGAGCTGAGGTCGACAACACTAGGACTTTCGGTCCTTGCTTTCCTTACTCAATCATTTGGCTGGCTCTTCAACATTTGGATCTGAGGACTAGGTAAATCAATATTGCAAGCTCTCGACTCGGCTCGACTCGACTTGATTACCGCGTACTATACCAACTCCATTAGGAGTAAAAAACTTTATACAATAATGATATATTAAGGTGGCAACCTGTAATTCGTGTAGTATGGGTCTCCATAATATGACATTATAGTTAGAAGGAAGGTCGACAACAACAAAGTCTGCTAGGATTCTTCTCTGGCAAGGGAGTTTGCCTAACTCCACACTTAAAATGATCTGACCTTGAGCTTTAATAGGATCACCCGAGAACCCTTGCAACCTCCTAGAATATGGTTGGAGGCAACGTTCTTGGATTCCCATTTGTTCTAAAGTTCAGGAGTACAAAACATTGACCGAACTCCTATTATCCAACAGAGTCCGATGCACTTGTACTCCAGCAACTGCCATGGTGATTACCAGTGCATCACTTTGGTCCTGTAGGATCCCATGCGAATCTTTTTCTGAAAATCCAATTCATTCTGAGTATGATACAGTATTAGTGTGAGGCTCGGGTAATCTCACATTATAATTTTGCCAGATGATGACATCGCGTGCTTGTCTATGCCTTAATATTCTGGATCCTTCAAGGCATTGATTGCTACTTACTAGAGTTTTGATCTCAGCTCGGCCTAAAGGATCTCGAGTTTGAAGACCAAGGTAAACTCGCTGAGCTGTTCCTTGATGATTAGTTTACTGATTGCTAGATCTGTTCTCCTCTCCGGGCTTAGCTACAAATTTTCACAGGTGACCTCGTTGAATTAGAGATTCTACTTCTTCCTTCAGATTCCTATAATTATCAGTGTTATGTCCCGTGGTCTTGTGGTAGTAGCAGTAATTTCCTTGGTTTTTCCCTGCCAATTCATTTTTCTGAGGTGGGGGTCTACAGAATGTTTCTTTTTCTTCTGCTTGCACGAAAACTTCCTCCAAGGTGGTATTTAGTGGGTGATAATCATGGAATCTACCAAGATAAGGCTTAAGACGAGCTCAATCCCTCTTATCTTTTTTTTTAGTGACTAAAGTCTTTATCCACTTTTTTCTCCTTTGGTTGAACCGAGGGATGTGGATTTGCTTTGTGTTCATCTTGGTCTGATGTGGCCTCTTCGCACTTATATGTTTCTCAACTCGATTCAGGAACTCATGGTATATCCGAGGTCCATCCTCATGTAAAGACCACCAGAACCTCATCTGAGGCCTTAGCCCAGAAAGGACTACCATAAGTGTAGCATCATCAGAGATATTTTCAACTTCCATGGACTACTTATTGAATTTGATGAGGTAACTTTTAAGTGATTCACTCTTCCCTTACTTAATGCTTACCAGGCGCTCCTTAGGAGTAGTTCTTGCTTTAGAACCCATAAACTGAGCTAGGAATGCTGTGGTAAGGTCATTCCAATTTTTTCTGGATCTTTGATGTAGCCTTCTGAACCATCTTTGGGCTTTATCTCCCAAGGTCAGTGGAAATGTACGACACATTATGGCATCTCCTGCTCCTTGCAGTTCCGTCCAAAAAATATACTTGTCTATATAGCTGAGAGGATCTTCTTCTCCTTCATACCCAGTCAGTTGTGGCATCTTCAACTTTTCAGGCAAAGGTTCAGTCGGGATATCCTCAATGAAGGGGGAGTGGCGTTTGGTGAGATATTCCCCCATGGTTCCTTTATCCTTAGATTCCAAATCAGCGATGCATTTTCTCAAGGCACTTATTTTAGGTTCTAGTTGTCCCAATAATCGTTTAGCATGAGGTTCATCTTGTTTACTCAGAGGTGTTAGGGAGTGCTGAGAACCAAATTTGTCAAATACACTGTTAGCTTTCTCAGCATCCAGATTCGTCTTATGGGAGAACTCCTGACCTCTTCAATTCGACTTTTGGAGAATTTTTCTCCTAAGAATTGGAGAGTCCTCCAGTGGGAGGTCATCTGGTTCTCTCCCTATGTGGGGATTCCACCTCGATTTATTGTGGTAGAA